TTTGTATGTTCAGATATTCATGTAACAAAATATATACAAATTAATACCTAAATAGGGACATAGTAGTATACTTAAAGTATGATGTAAAGTTCACTTAAAGAAAACTTACGAGTATACTTGCAGTATAAAACTAAACTAGTAGCTTACTGAGACTATACTTAAAAGTGTACTAAAAATGCTACTACAAGTATTTAATTAGTACACTATCAGTATACCTATAAGTTCACTTTTAGTATAGTTGCGGTACAAACTAAACATTTTGATGTAAACTAGTTGTGTACTCAAAGTTTACTACTGTTATACTTAAAGTATACTTTTATATACTAGAAAGTGGGCCAATTTAGTCCCAAGGAGTATTGAAATAGTACACTTACAAGTACACTGATATTTGTATACTTACTACATAAAGTATACACTTGAACTTTACTTAAGTATACTTACTAAAATAAACTTGAAGTATACTACTTTTTGGTAAGGGATCTAATAGCACAGCCAGCTACTTCTGTAACAGGTTTAGCCTATCTTACAAATCGTTTGCTTATAGTTCAAAGTCCAGTGACTTTAGGGGCTTAAACAAGTTTTTAATGTGAAATTCATTACATTCTTACGAGATTTTACTATCAGTGATCCGATACGTGTGAGAGCTTTACTGCAGAGTTCATAAATACTAATAACAACCGAGCAATAGTTTTTCGCGCCTTACCTGTTCGGCCATTAATCCAGTGCTAAACCGTTCAGCAGTTTCTGAAGTCATTTTATTGTGAAGTTTCAAGAGTTCCGTGCGGCGATAATGTGGAGTACCTCCTCTCTTCTCTCCCCCTTCTTCGTTTCATGCGTGTTTCTCAACGTTTCTGAAATAGGAAATAACTTTCTGACCCAGTGACTCATTTTCCGGTAAGGGATTCTTCAAGTGTGCAGTACTGAACAAACGTTAATATTCACGGAACGGTGACATATGCAGCACATTAACGGTAACTTTGTATGTTTAATTAATTAAAGAAATTTTTTTTCTATAAAATCAGCTGTTATTGCTGTCGTATTAACTTTAATAATGAGCAGATATTAATTTGGGACTACTGAACTGTTTTAATAAATCTTCCTGTATTCTGAAGATGACTAGAGGAAAAATAGTTAAGTTTAGCATATAAATAATTTAATTAAAGTGAACATGGTTAATCCAAGAATCAAGCTAACAATGATTAGCTGCTGAATCCCGCTCGTACTTTCAAAAAAAAAAGCGCGGGAGCTTATAATTCAAAAAATAACGGCTTTGACTCATTCAACTGACGATTTCTTTACTAAATCGCTCGCGTATGGAGGTTTTAGATATTAAAAACAATGAATCGTCGACCCTGAGACATCTCGTTGTTTTTGTTTATTGGCAGATTGAATCGGGACAGAGCTGCTAAGCTAACCAGTTCAAGGGTAAGAACTTAACAAGAGTGCATTCAAAAAGAACAATATATTTTGCTGTCTATGAAAGCTATAAATGAGTTTTTATTTATTATTTTGCTTCTGTTTTTAATCCCCCTCTTCTTTCCCAAGTAGGCTAATTACTAAAAACTTAAGAATTATCATTCAACACCATGGAGTAAGGTGAAATTAAGGCTAGAAATTAAGTAACTATCAAAGCTAACAAAAAGAAAACAATGGCTTCTGATTGCAAAATTTCACTTTATGGTGGTGAATCTAAATATATATATATTTATATTAAAATGAGAATTACACACTGCCAGCAGAACTACTAAATCAGGTCTTATGTATATAATAGCAGATGTCTCCATTTCTGGCCTAGCTCTCCGCTTCAAAATGGTGTAATCCGTCTTTCTTTCAAAGGAACATTTGAAGGCTATTCTTTGGTCAGCTATGTTTGCACAAGGTGTCACTGAAAGATTGCTTTCTGTACATAAATCACAATGTTAATATTAGTTTTGCAATGTTGTCTTTTATTATTATTATTTTTTTACAGTGTGCCTTATTAAAATGAACGGATCATAACAGGAAATTATGCCAGATGGCATCGTGAGGTCAACCAAAGATATAGTATGATCAGTTCTTCAATGAAAGTTGCGTAATTAGTTCTCTGACAATGCAAGATTTCGATTGAATATTTATTTAATCAGACATGCGATTGCTACAATTTCCAAACTGTTCCAAGTACAAAGGCCAACACTTAAATGACAGAATGTCAATTCTGAGGTTTCTTTATGAATTTCATTAACAATGTGCAATCCGTTATTACCCAAAAGCATTGTGTCATCTTATTGTGTTTTCACTGCAGTGGCTTCCTCGTTTTTGTCCCTTTTGCTTGTATTCAGGAAATAAGTTGAATATCAGTGTACTTTTTTTTCCCAGTTAACATTTTCAGGTTGTGACATTTATTTGCAGATTACGTTTTCAGGCATTTACTGAAATTAGCAGCATGTTACCAGACAAATATTTTTATTTAGAATATTTTTTCATTATAAATCATATATTTGTAAATGGAAATCATGAGATAATTATACCCAATCAAGATCTCCATTATGCATTATTTGGTAATGTAAAATGTAATGAACAAATATACCATAATTATACTGCTGTGTTTGCATCAGCCTTTGTTTGTCCAGTTGGTTGATTTGTTTGCTTAACCTTGGTGTCTTTTTTAATTTTATGCAAAAGTTGGTCATAAAACCAATCTAAGTCCTGGCTGTCGTCGGGCCACAGAAGGTATCTTCTGTTCTCAATGTAGGATCTCACTTGCTTGTACTTTAGTAACCTGTACTGCGGTATGTTCCCTACAACCAGCACCACCAGAATGTCTTCAAGGTCCACTTGCATCCTTTTTTGTGCCAGACTGAAGGTTTCTAAACACCAACCATCTTTCAGGAAATGTTCAGACACCACACAAAGGGTTTTTTGACTATTCTGGATAGCATTTCGCATGTTGGTAAGATGGTCCTCCCCGGGTATGAAGTCTCGCTCCTCAAAGCAGCAGCGGAGTGTATTCTGCTCTGAGAACTGAGAGTCGAGCCTCTTCAACAGCGCTCTTTCTACCCACTTAATATCACTGGAACTGAAACAAAGATACACGTCGTACAGGAATCGATCAGGATCGAGCTCCTGTTGCTTTCCAGCCACAAGTTTAGCAATAAGTTTTTTGTAAAGCTTGAAGATGTAGCCACGTCGACGGACATAAATGATGGCGCTGGCAGTGAATAATATGATCAGTGTGGAACAGAAAATAAAAAGCACAAGCCTCAGTTTTTCAACGCTCCTCTCATCCTCTTTATCCTTACATTGAATGCTGGATCTCACAACCGAAACCATGTACTGATCCTCAGGACTGGCACATGTCACATCCTCAATGGGGTGAAAAAGGGTTACGCTGGTTTGATTTAGCCATGTTTGGAAATCCCTTAGGTTGCAGTCACAACGGAACTGGTTTTTTATCAGGCTGAGGTAGCTGAGGGCGCTAAAGAGGGTTGGATCCACTGAATAAATAGAGTTGTATTCAAGATTAAGTATCTGAAGACTTTTAGGGAATATACCATTAGGAAGGTACTTCAAAGAGTTGAAGGACAAATCCAAAAAGAACAAAGAAGTAAGATCTTTGAAAATGTCTTTGGGAAGCGACTGTAGTCCGTTGGAAGCCAGAGAAAGCTGTTCTAACTGGTGAAGATTGTTAAACACATTTAAACATTTTCCTTCAGACCAGATCAGTTGCATTGTTGAAAGCTCGAGATTAAGGAGTTGTAGGTTGTCTGAAACCACTATTTGTCTCTGATTATGACACATCGAAAACATGTTACCTTGAAGAAAGATTTTTTCTATTTGAGGACATTCCCATAGTATAGTGTACAAATCTGACAAGTCCTTTAATCTGTTGAATTCCAGGTCAAGGGTCGTGAGATTTTTAGCAATGTTGGGTAAACTAGACAAAGATGAAATTCTGTTCTCACCCAAGTAGAGTTTCTTCAGGTTTGGTAGGGTTGCAAATTCATGAATTGACTCCAGAGCATTTTCTGTTAAATTTAAGTTGAGTAAACAAGGGAGTCCCTGAAATGATTGCTCTCCAAGCACCCTTATATGGTTGTAAGACAAATCAAGCACCTCAAGTTTCTCTAGATTCTGAAATGTTTTAGAATCAATGCTACCCAGGAAGTTTTTGGACAGGTTTAGCTTTTGTAGATCAGTCATACCCAAAAATGCATTGTTTTCAATCATGTTGATCTCATTTTGTGCCAATGTAATTTGTTCTAGATCTGAAAAATGACTAAATACTGAATTTGACAAAGCAAAAATATGTGATTGGGACAAATCGAAAACCTTAACACCACTCGCCTCAAGACCCTTGAATGTGAATTTGTCTGGATCTGGGAAATTGTTATGACCAAAAGAACTGCCCATGTTGTAACTGTTACTGAGAATGAGACCAAGGATTTTTGTACCAGTGATTGCATCAAAAAAACGCTTTGCCATGGGAACTTTAAAGCCGTTTCCAGATAGGTCCAATACAGTTATGGACATGTTCTTAAACGGGTTTCCACACTTGTCCCATCCTGACCAGTACTTGTCCATGTCTTGCAGTGTCACGGAGGCCAGTTGCAGAAGTGTGAAATGTTTACCCTGAAAGCTGAGGAGGTCTTCTTCACAGATGCTCTTCACTTTGTTTTGAGAGAGATCCAGCACATGGAATCTCCTCATATTTAAAAAGAATGATGCCGGCTGGATTCTGTGAACGTTGTTATTACGCAAGACAAGCATCTGTAGAGACACCAGAGGTTTGAGGACGTCACCAGACAAAACAGAACCATCTAAACTGCACTGAGTGAGAGTGAGAATCTCAAGGTTGGATAATCCATTAAAAGCCTCTGTCTCTATTTGCAGGAAGAAGTTGTAGTCAAGTTTAAGTAATATTAGATTGGAGAGTCTTCTAAACGTGTTGTTTCTGATCACAAGTCCTGGTGTCTGTTGCTCGACTTTAAGGACTTGTAGACCTTCAAGACGAGAAAAGGAGGTTTCGTTGAGTTCAGCAATGCTGTTTAAACTCAGATCCATATGATTTACATGCGTGGGCACCTCTGGCACATGATGAAGACCTCTATCTATGCAGAAGGCAGCATAGTCGTTAACTGAACACACCGAGGTGCTTTTCACAACTTCAGTGTTGATGCACAATCCAAAAAGGATCAGTTTAAATATATATTCCATTTTGAGAGCACTGTGGGGGAAAAAACACATGCATTTTAGTGTTAAAAATTGTTTCGTTTTTTGAGATGACATGCTTTTGTAAGTTATTTGTTTGACTAGTTCAAGGTTCACTGACTTCAAAGCATTAACTACAACACACAGACGTTTTATACGGGAAAAGATACATTCTGATACATTCAGCTATCTGAAAGTTGTAGGCTGCTACGAGGTCATGACTAATAACACAGCAATAATGCAGCGTCTTACCGGGATCGGTCACTAATCCATACAGCGTTTTGGCGTGAAATAATGAGGAAGTTCCAATAATGCAATATTAAGACTCGTACAGCGTCGAATAAACAGCTATCCGTCCTCTCGCTTGAGTTTCTAGTGAGTTCTTCCTCCGTTCTCTCTCTTCATTTCATTTGCGTTTCCCAACATTTCTGAAATAGGAAATAACTTTCTGACACAATGATTCGTTTTCCGGAAAGGAGTTCGAGTGTGAGCACTGTAACTCTGGAAAACTACAATCATTTCAGCTTCTTTAATAAGGTCGTGAGTTTTCATCGGTAGCAATATTTTAACAGTAGCAACAGTTTTATTGAACTTTGTTATTCAGAACGTCGTTTTAAGACCAGAATCTTCGTTTATTTATTTACAGTGAAATATAAACAGCGTAGAAATGGAATACACTTGTGCAATACAGGAATGAAATGATTAGTCAACTGACAGCAACTGCAATGATTGGACATTAACTCTTGCCACTCTTGAAGATAAAACACTAACTTTTTAT